CAGTAATATATTCTTACTTAGATGTAGTAGCACCACCAATTAATAATGGAATATTAAAATTTAATCGTTGCATTTCTTTTGCAACAATAATCATTTCATCTAATGATGGAGTAATTAAACCAGATAAACCAATAAAATCTGCATTTTCTTCTTTAGCTATTTTAAGAATTTTATCACATGGTGTCATAACACCTAAATCAATAACACGATAATTATTACAACCAAGTACAACACCAACAATATTCTTTCCAATATCATGAACATCACCTAAATATTATTAAATAAAGAAAATTTATTAAAAAAAAAAAAGAAAAATCTATTTTACCTTTAACAGTAGCCATAACAATAGTTGATTGTGAATCTAATCCAGTCATTGTTGTATTACCTTGTTGTTGTAATAATTTTAAATTTTCTTGTTTTTCTTCTTCCATAAATGGTATTAAATGATTAACAGCTTTTTTCATAACTCTTGCTGATTTAATAACTTGTGGTAAAAACATTTTACCACTACCAAATAATTCACCAACTTCACTCATACCATTCATTAATGGTCCTTCAATAACATGTAATGGACGTGAATATTTTTTTCTTGCTTCTTCCATATCATCAATTATATATTTATCAATACCTTTAACTAATGAATATTGAAGACGTTCTTCAGCAGTTGTATTTATTCTCCATAATTCTTCTTCTTTTCTTTCTTTATTATCATTATTTTGATCAGAATTTAATTTAAGTTGTTGAGCATAATCAAGTAATTCTTCAGTTGCTGTTGATCGTTTATTAAATATACATGTTTCACAAAGTTCTCGAAGATGAGGATCAATATCATTATAAATTGGTATTTGACCAGCATTAACAATACCCATATCAAGACCAGCTTTTATTGCATGATATAAAAATACAGAATGCATTGCTTCACGTATACGATCTTGACCACGAAATGAAAATGATATATTTGATATACCACCAGAGGTTTTACAACCTGGACAAGATGCCTAAATATTAAAAGTTCTATGATGGAAACTTTCGGTATTAGATTAACATTATTGATCTTTTCTTAGTGTCATATGGAAATGAATTTTCTCGATTTTTTGTTATATTTTCAGAGAAAAAACTATTACTATCAGACATTTCAACATCCAAGTGAAATGATCTTCAATTAAAAGTAAAATTATCATTGTGAAGATACATTTTAGTAAAATAAATTATGTTGAAATTTATTAACATTAAATTAAAAGAATTATCTTTTTTCATTAATTGAACAATTGCAAAGAGAACTAAGTATTAACACTAATGAAAAGTTGCTATAATTGAATTACAATCGTCTGAGTAATGAATGAATTTGAATAATTTTTCATTTTTTTCTTTTTATTAATAAGTGATACAAAATTCTTTGCAAGAGTACTGAAATCTAATTGTCAACAATGTAACATCAGATTAGTTTTAACATTTTTTTTTCTCTGAAAAATCAAAACTTGGAGCATATATATACATAAAACAAATCAAAATGATTTTCGGGAAAGTCCATTTTTTTGATACCATTTCTGTTCGCGATTCGCACGAAGAACAAGGCTAAAAAAATCATTTCCGAAGGATACTCGTTTTTTTTTCATTATTATAAAAAAATGCTATTTGAATATCGTTCTTTGCGATGAATGATTAGGAAGAAAAAGAAACGAGATAAAACTTGACAGGTTTATCATTCTTTACGAGCAAAAATCTTTTTTTGTTTTCGCTTTTCTATTTTTGTACGCTGCTTTTAACGATAATTTCTTTTTTTTGTATAGAACGAAAATTTTAAGTTGGAAAAAACCAAATTTTCACTGATATATAACAAACATCGAAGTCTACACAACATACATTGATCATAAAGTTAAAAATGAATAAAGTAAGTACAAAAAAATTAAAACACGTTTCATAAATGCTTGTCGATATTATATGAAATACTATCTTATAATAGAGTTAAAAACTATGTAAAATCATCTTCGACGAGGTTTTAATGAACACAAATCATCAATGCAACTGATACATAGTGCGCAAGTCAGTTGGATAATTATACTATTCGACATATCCCAAAGAGGTAATCATCTTACTTCACTTTCAAACGTCATTTATAATACAAGTGTATTTCTTGCAGACATTGGACGTAAGTACTTTTAAGTACTTCCTTATAGTAGCCCTAATTTTACGCGTCACATCAGTGGCTACAAAATGGTACACTTTATTTTTTCATTCAGGTTCTCCATCAACAAAAAAACAACAAGTACTTAATATTTCTATGCAGATTTTGAAAAAGACACATATTTTCTTAAGTACTTGTTGTTTTCTTGTTGATGGGAAATCTGAATGAAAAAACAAAGTGTACCGTTTTGTAGCGACTGACGTAACGCGCAAAATGAGGCCAATAGTTGTATATCTATTAAAGAATAAAAGTATATTAAGGCTATTCTAAGGAAGTACTTAAAAGTACTTGCGTCCAATGTCTGATTCCTTGCACACGAGCGGGATTTTTTTCCAATAGGAAAAGAGAAAATTTGTAGGCTACGTTTATTTGACGCTAGATGGAAATTGCGGTCTTTAGTTATGTTGTTTATTGAAGACACCTCATTTCTTGCAAATAACACAAAAATGTTAGGCTCAGACCTTTTATCATTAATCGGAGATAGTTGGTCCAATATTCAGATCAATATATATAGGTAGTTCTCATTTTACGAGTAGTTTCAATATCTTTAAGTCTCGAAATGAGTAAACTTATTATAGATTAGTTTATTCCTAGAATCTATTGGTTTCCATTTCTAAACAGCGTCAAGCACTTCAATCCATTGACAGCTTGTACTCGCATTCATATCACATTTCGTTTAATAATGCATTAACGAAATCAATTTGATTTCATTTACATGTTTCTCAAATATCTACAACTGCATCTAATCAAATCATTTTCTATTGTTTAATATATCTGAATCTACAGAGCGCAACGATTGGTAGTTACTAAGATGGAAGGACTGGAAAATTCTTGTTCATTTTTTTTATTCCTTTTTTCACTTTTGAGTCTCTCTTACGTGACAATTTCCATTATTCAGAACTTTTGCTGATCAGTTCGACTTTAATTGTCATCGTATAACTGTACAAAAATGTGTAAACACGAATCAAGAGGCTCAGTTCTATCGTTTAAAAGTATTTTCATTTTCTTTCTTCAACTTTTTCTTTGCCATAAGTAACTTCATCACAAAGAATATGCACTTCAATTTTTATTGATGACTAAATAACATCTTTACTGTATCTCTTTATTTCTTTTTATAAAGTATTAAGTCTTAAATGCTATTTTTTCTCGCAATCACTCAGCATCTTATACAAAATTCTAGGTAATTGGCAACGCTTTGTATTGCCCCTCTCAATTCCACCAGATCTTCTACTATCTTCTGATAGTATGCATGTCTCGCGCGTGCCATATCATTCGTCTTGTACGACATGGCGATTTTCGAACAACCTTGAAACTTTTAATCAGTTATGTGATTTCGACCGATATGATAACTTGGTCGATCGCTACCACAATAATGTTCATTTTATGAACACGCGTGCTCAACTAATGCGTGATTTAATTCTCTATCATATTCCAACTTCTGTTCACTCACAATCTACAATGCTTGGTGCTTTTGCTGCCAGATCTTCACAAATTGATTATGGAGAACGAAAAATAATTGGCGAACTTCTTCTTAATTATCAATCTTCGTCCGTCATTAATTCATACGTACAAGGTACATTTTTTCATCGAACACTAAATTATATTCTCCGACAGCAAAAACTTCATGAAATTTACTTGTTTCGGCATGCAATTACCGATCTGATTAATTGTTTACGTCAGCCTTTACCAGCAGAAGAGGACAGTGTTTCTTTAGTTCTGTATCGTGGTCAACAAATGACTATATTCGAAATAGAAAAAATGAAAAACAATGTGGGAGAAATTTTTAGTGCTGCTTCGTTTCTCTCTACTACTATGCGCCTTCGTATCGCCCAAATCTTTGCGGGCGATGGATCTGACGATAATCCTTATTTAGTTCCAGTCATTCTAGAAATTTATCTTGATACTGGCCAATCGATGCGACCCTATGCTCGTATTAATAACAGTGCTGAAGAAGAAGTACTATTATCACCCGGTATGAAATTTATTCTTATGTCATGTCGAAAACTTCATGATAATAATCGAATATGGCTCTTAGAACTGAAAGCCATCACAGAAAAACAACAAGAACAACTTGCATTAAATTATGGAGAAACTTTTTTGCTTCTTAGTGAAGCACGTGAATGGCCGACACAGTCGTGATTGTTCATACTTAAATCACCTGATGAGACCCTTGAGCAAGGTCGAAACTGGTCTCGGCCGTTTACTAACATTTCGTCAGATATGTTTATATTATAAAATTTCATTTTCAATAGAAAAAACATTTTTCTTTTGTGTATATTATAAATAAATTCTAAAATAAACTTGATTTACTTTAATACGTTTAATTGCTTCAATAAAATTGATTGCATAATCATTATGTTCTTCCATTCCTGTTGCAATTGTTAAAATATTCGAATCGAATATAATATCATTTGGATTAAATTTTACAATATTAACTAATAGATCATAACTTCTTTTACATATAGACCATTTTCGTTCAATATCTGTTGCCTTAAATAAAAGTAAATATATTCTTCTTTACAAAAATACATTTAAAATTCATATTCTTACTTGTCCTTGTTCATCAAATGCCATAACAACAACAGCAGCACCATATTTTTTACATTTTTTTGCTTTATCAAGAAAATCTTGTTCACCTTCTTTTAATGATATTGAATTAACAATACATTTTCCTTGTGTACATTTAAGACCAGCTTCAATAACAGAAAAATTTGATGAATCAATACATAAAGGTACACGAGCTATATCAGGCTCTGATCCAAGAAGATTAATAAATTTTGCCATTACTATTTGACCATCAATCATGCCTTCATCCATATTTAAATCAAGTATTTGTGCACCAGATTCAACTTGTACTTTAGCTACTTGTAGAGCAGCATCGAATTTATTTTCTTTTAATAAACGAAGAAATTGACGACTACCAGCAACATTACATCGTTCACCAATATTAACAAAATTTGTATAACGAGAAATACGAAATGGTTCAAGACCTTAAAATATCTTAAGCTTGTTTGTTTTTTTTTCTTCATATTAATTTTTGAGAAATATTCTCATACCTGAAAGAAGCATTTCGTCTGCATGTACATTTTTCGGTGGTACTCTTGGTGGATATCGTTTAACACTTTCAGCAATTGCTCTAATTTGATTCAATAGATTTATAAATATGAAAGAAAGATAATTAAGTTTTACTTGATATGATCAGGTGTTGATCCACAACATCCACCAACAATATTAAGTAATCCATCATGAGCCCATTGACCTACATCTTGAGCCATGGATTCAGGTGTTTCATCATATTCACCAAATGTATTTGGTAGACCTATGATTTATTCAATTAATACAATAAATAATCAACTATTTTCTTTTTTTTTTAATACCAGCATTTGGATAACAGATTGTATATGCACATGTATTATTAGAAACTTCTTCTATAAATCGTCGCATTTCTTTTGGACCCAAAGCACAATTTAAACCAAGACTATAAATATTTAAATAGAAAAGAAAAAAAAAACAACACAAAACAAAAGATTACCAAATCGGATCAGCATGTGAAACACTAATTACAAAAGCATCAACAGTTTGACCAGACAATGTTCGACCACTCAAATCAACAATCGTACCAGAAATCTAAATAAAAAAAAAACATGAGATTCAAAATTTACAAAAATTAGAATTATGCCGAATTACATCTACTTTTTTTTACATATCGAAATTTCATAGATGGACTATAAATTGTCTTAAAGAGAATAAAATAAGGGGTTGCCATATATCCAACGATCGCTCTTTAAAAAATTATAAGCATCACAAAGCGAAATTTTTCATAGCATTGCTTAAAGACGTATATATATATTTTTTTTATAGGGAAGGTCGTAGGAAATGCGACAACTCCTCATTTCATTTAGGATTTTATGCTTTTTTGACATAACTTTTTCTGAGATTTGATTCGCCCCTGAGGGAGAAGCTTCTCCACGCTACCCTCTTCCCTTGGTCATCACTTTTTATAACAGCTGAAAAATATGGAATAGCTGTCTATTGAGAAAAAAAAAATCTTTGTAAACGAAGTTTCTTTCGAACCCGATTTCGAGGACTATTAAGGCTTTTCCCTCAAAAAAAGTTACTTTTCGTCAGAATGATCGAAATTAAGATAAATGCAAGGAAAAATAGTTCGTAATCTGATCAATCATAAACGACAAAAATTTTTATTCGGCACCTCGGGTTTTTGAAAATTTTCATTATCATCTCCTATTCGAAAAAAAACTGAAAATCTTTTTCGGTTTTTCTCGTTTTATATGTTTTCGATCGCATCGCCAAGAATTCTCGAAGGAACTTCATTGTAGCCAATAGATTTTTAAAAGAGCGTGTAAAACTGTAGTACCTATGAGAGTCCGATTTTTTATTATTGTTAAGCTTTGCTTTTAGTATATATGGACAAAATCAGGCAGAATAGGACATTGGCACCTTTCATTTGAGACTGATTTTCTATAAGAGTGAATTTTTTGAATAAATTCTTTTGGCATAGGTTTTTGTGAAAATGTTTGGTCTTTCACATGGTTATTAATTAATTAGCAAATATCTCGCTAACCATATGAGAAAAAATCTGAAAACTTCAGAATAGGGTCTAGGGCATAAGCTGCATCTATGGTAAAATTTTCAGCAAGATAGGACTTCAAAAAGTTTCTTCCGAAAAATCGGTTTTCCTCATTATGTAGTCGTACTGCGTCACGTTACTAACGACAAATAAGTCGGTTTTTTTTTGAAAGATCTCGACATGCTCAGAAAAAAATTTTGGATATAGACTTTATAGCCTTAGGAGTCGTCTACGAAATGCCCTATTTAGTTTTCTAAAATTGTGTATGAGTTGGGAGGTTTTAGAAACTAAAATACACCAAGTGGAAATCGATGTCCTTTTTTATGTCACATCGCTAACGGTAGTCTTTTACCAGTAACTCCTGTAAACAAAGCTGCATAGGGCTGATTTTTTTGAGGTGTCTCGAGTAACTTAATGTTCATGCAACATGTAAAAAATCAGACCTAAGAGAGCTCATATTTTAATTTTCCGAAGTCACGTCGCTAACAAATGATTTTGCCCATATACAAACATTTATATAATTCGAGTACCATTTTTAGAGAGGTTTTTTAAGTCATTGAACTTTCAATCCATTTTTTCCCCTTAAAAACTAAGAGTTTAATAAAAAAGGGCTCTCATTGACTATTCACAGTACTATTTAGATTTGAGTTAAATGCTTGGTACCGTAGAAAAAACTATCAATAATATATTGATCTTATATTTTTTGATTAATACGAGATAGACTAAATTTGATGTCATCGAATTCTTTTAAGATTTTCGACAAGACGTCATTGTAGATTTAATATAAGCTCAAACAATGAATATCAGTTCGATTGATTTCCTATGATGAATTAAATATAAATATATTTTTCTTACAAGAATTGGTCTAGTTAATTCACTATTTGTTTCAAATAAAGTTTTTAATGCAAATATAGCTGCTTTTGCATTTGCTGTATCAAATATAGTTTCAATTAATAATAGATCAACATTCCCATCAATTAAACCACGTGCTTGTTCAGTATATGCTTCAACAATAGCATCGAAAGCTAAAACAAAATTAATAAATAATGAATAATTTCAACATTAAACATACTTATATTTCGAAAATCAGGTTTATCTACTGATGGTGATATTGATAAAGTTTTATTTGTTGGACCTAAAGCACCAGCAACAAATCGTTGAATACCTTAAAAAGAAAAAAAAAATCTCTATCAAAATAAATATATTTCAGTAAATAAAAAAACCAGTTTTTTTCGTATATTCATCAGCTGCTTGTCTTGCTAATTGAGCTGATTTTAAATTTAATTCATATGATAAATGTTCTAAATTATAATCAGCTTGTGATATACGTTGAGCATTAAATGTATTTGTTTCAATAATATCAGCACCAGCTTCTAAATATTTTTGATGTATTTCTAAAATAATATCAGGATGTGTTATTGATAATAAATCATTATTTCCTTTAAGAGGATATTTATGATTATTTAATTGATATTCATTAGAACGAAAATCAGATTCATCTAATTTATATTGTTGAATCATTGTACCCATTGCTCCATCAATAATAAGAATACGATTTGATAGAGCAAGAATAAGATCATTTTCTATTGAAAATAAAAAAAAAAACAAATATATATAATTGTTTTTAAAAAAATAAAGATAACAAAAATCTTTACCTATTTTTGAATGAATATTTGATGATGGTGTCATTGTTAAAGATCTAAAATTAAAATAGATAAATGAAAAAAATATACTTAAAAATCAAAGATTCAGTTGTGTATACGAAAAGATTAAATATATATTTTTTTTTTTTCATTTTATATGAAACAGCTGACCTTATTCACATTTCATTTATTTTAAATGATTTTATCATATTCACCAATTAAAACACATAGGATGTCGCTATACTCCATATCCGATGATCGAAAATATACTCCTAACAAACCTTTCATCGATCGACTTTTAATTCAACCTTTGAACTGTAATGAAAACATACGAAACTTGTTAGATGGCGTCAGCTCTCAGGTGTTATCTTTTTCTTTCTGTCATCGTTGCGACGTCACCATATATATATATGTATATGTTTTATCTATGTATTCTTTCGTTCTGTGTGAATAGATATATGTTTCAGCGTATTCGTTTCTCTCTATTGTTCTTGCATGTTCTCATTAGTACTCTTGTGTGAGTTCTGGAACTTCTAGCACATTCCTTTTGTTCCGAATCCGTGTATATATATATACCTCTCCGCTCGTAATAATAAAGTTGATTGTACATACATGTTAAGATAAACTTCTCTCTGACTTACAACTGGTTAGTGGTTGACTACCTTTACAATCTTGTTTAAATAGATAAATTTTTCAATTAGAAAGCAGCGGTCACGTAAAAAGAAAAATCGACTTTCGACTTTTTGTTGAAAAACTCATGTTGAGAATGAAGGCTCAGAAAAATCAAACTATCCAAGAGTTTTTTGTTATATTCATCAAATGAATATCATCTCGATTAAACTGAAGAGATTTTCTCATAAGTTTTTGATTTCTCTTTTTTCTTCCATACTATTCTTTGTACTGTAAATTAATAAATTCAATCTAGTGTATATTCAAAAATAATAATATCATTATTGATGATTAAATCGAATATTACTTGTATTTACCGTATAAATGAATTTACTAGAGTACACCAAAAGTAATAGCGATGACAAGTGTCCTTTATTTCGTCGTTCTTCAATAATAAAATTTTGATAAAAGCTGATCACATGTGGTTTTAATAGATAAGGAAAATTTTCGCTTCTAGATTAAAGTCCACAGTGTACTTAAGACCCCCTTCTCAAAAATCGATCTCGGGCCAGAAACATTCAAATTGCATGAAACTTTCAGGATATGTTAGGACTGGTGAACGATGGCTATGGTAAAATTTTCAGCCCTATATCATGATATTTGACAGAGATATTAACCAAACAAGAGTCAAAAATAGTTCTATCGTAGCGCCAAGATTTCTCTGTAAACCTTCATTTTATACATTAAATTTTTGTTTTTGTTGTTTGAAAGCTTGTGTCTAGAGCTAGCTCCTATCGTGTTCCTGTTTTTAAACTCTTACTTTTTAAGCGAAGAGAAGAGATGATAAGTTTAATGACTCAACAAAAAAAACACGGCGCTGTTTTTATAGTCATGTTTTCTTATATGATAACAAAAAATATATTCAACTTTATCTTTTACTATGATAGAGTTCTGCTAGCACTATGTCGTTGAATCCACGTTCTGAGAAAAACGAAAATCTTTCAAAATTTTTGTCGCGTATGAAAGAGCAGATGATGGGCTATGGCTCCATGAATTTATCTCAATTTCGATGATTCTGGCGAAAAGTGACTTTTTTGAGAGAGCCTTAATATTCCAGCAAAAGTTATTTGTGGTGAACTATTTTCTGTTTTTTAACGACTAAATATCACCTCTCTTTGTCTCAAGAATTAGAAGATGTGTTCTCAGTCATCAAATTCTAGCATGTTTTTATTCATTCTCTCAAAGAAAACGTGTTCATTATATTTTTTCATTGCATAATATGCATCTTAGCGAATATTGAGAAATAAAAATAATCGTGAGTACATGTCAAGAAATGTTCTAATTATTTTTTTTTTACAGAATTACTTTGTTTTTGTATATCGTGATGATGTGTCTCCTAGTTGAATCGTACTATATCTATTCGATAAATAGAAGAGATAGATGATTGAAGTTCCGCAGATTATTGTTCTATCCGATATGATCTATGTCCACAGGAAAGTTTAATCGATATAGTTTGTCATTGCAGAAAGATCATTGAATTTTCGGGATTTTGATTATGATGTCGAAGAGAATATATTCTCCAAGAGTATTGACTAAAATTCAAGAAAAATCTAGAATGAAAGAGAGACGTTTGCTCTTGTCATATGTCTATTGAAATTAAAATAAACTTTATAAAATCATTTATCTATAGTTTAGGAGCGTTATACAAAGGACTTTACTGACCAAGCACTGTTGAATTAACTACATGGATAGGTGTACCAGACACATAGGCTACAATTTGATCAAAGATATCAGAAAACTGAAGTTCATATTCATCAACTGACACGTATCCAATATGAGGCGTACAAATAACATTGTCCATCGTGAGAAGAGGATTGTTAGTGTCAATCATTGGCTCATGTTCATAGACATCAACAGCTGCCATACCAGGTCGACCAGCACGTAATGCATTGACCAATGCATCTGACTCAATTAGTGCTGCTCGACTCGTATTGACTATAAGAGCAGTTGGTTTCATACAAGCAAGATCTTGAGCAGTAACAATACCACGTGTTACTTCAACTAAACGCATATGAAGTGAAAGAATATCACACATTTCGAAAAATTCTTTTTTACTACTGGCTGTTGCATAACCATCAGTACGAGCACGAACAAGAGATGTTTCACGTGCCCAAACAAGTACATTCATACCAAATGCTGTTCCATATCTAGCAACAGTACTACCAATTCTACCATAACCATAGATGCCAAGTGTTTTTCCACGTAATGTTGCACCGACACCAATTTGCCATTTACCAGCTTTAAGTGCAGCCATTTGTTGAGGAATTTGACGCATTGCTGCAAGTATTAATGCCCAAGTTAGTTCAGCAGCAGCATACGAAGGACTATCAACATGTTGATTAGATGATACAATAATACCTAAACGATTACAAGCATTGATATCAATATGAGGATAGACACTACGTTGACTAATCAATTTTAAACGAGGTAATCGTTCGAGAACTTCACTACGAATCTGTGTACGTTCACGAATCAATACTAATACATCCGTTTCTTTAAGTCGATCAATAAGTGCATCTGTATCTTGAACATGATCATTCCATATAGTGACATTATGACCATTTAACTTACTATAACATTGAAGTGTACGAATAGTATCAAAATAATCATCAAGTATGGTAATATTCATTATTTTTAATTCTTCCTAAAAAAAAAAAAAGTGTAATTTTAAAACTCTAGAGTATCATAAAAAAAATATTCGTTAAAAAAGATCCTATGGTAAATGGTAGACTCCTATGTTGATAATGCAAAAACAATGTTCGATTATCTTTGTTTCTTACTCACATTCCAAATCGTCCATCGCATAAAACGTGCAACAAACGACTCACTGAAGAAAAAAAAAACATAGATAAGAAAAGAAAAAACATTAAAACACAAACGTTCTATATCCTATATCATATTATTATCTCCTCAGTTTCATAGTTAAAACAATATATCATTTGATATCTTTCGAATGGAAATGAAATTATTGTTTAACTATTCTTCTACTGATACCAAATAAGAACAGTAATTTAAATATTAAAAGAGACTTTTTTGACAAGAAGATAATGTCTTTTCAATATAACTATCAAAGTTGTTGTCAAATAATCAAGTCTCTTCTTTTACACTAATTCCATATAGTGAACAATGATATGTATTGAGTTTTAAAAATATTTACGATATATTCGTTGTGATCTTTCTTATTTACATATTTTGTTCGAAGAAATGCTATTGAAAAAGCAAGACGTTTATTGACAATGTGCGGCATCTATATTTTGTAAGATTTAATTTTGCTTCTATTCAATAAAAGACAAGATAAATTTGATTCATATAGAAGTTTAATTCTTGAGAATCTTTGTCATGAATACAAAATACATTAGGTCAAGATGGCGATCTCCTAAGACTAGATCAAAGTACTATCTATCTCTTTTGACCTATATGTTATCATTTTTTCTGATATTGCTATACGATTGTGCAATAACAAACTAATAAAAAGAATAACTGGCAAAGGATCTTGAATATATAAATAGCCTTACTCGCAATTCTCTTATTGTAACCGTCAACTTTATATACGAACATGAGCAACAATATACTTAAATTATACTATTTCAATCTACGAGCTCGTGCCGAACTTATTCGTTTAATATTCGTTGCTGCTGGTCGTGCTTGGAATGATATTCGTATCGAGTTCACGAAATGGCCTGAATACAAACCTAAAATGATACTTGGTCAATGTCCATTACTTGAACTTCCCGATGGAACTCAAATACCACAATCATTAAGTATTGCTCGTTATATAGCACATGAAACAGGTCTAGCTGGTACAGATAATCTTGAATCGGCTAAGATTGATGCTGTTGTTGATACTCAACGAGATATGAATGAAATATTTCATACAAAAGTTTTATTTGAAAAAGATGAAAATAAAAAATCTGAAGAACTTGAAAAATTTCTAGCTAATGATCTTTTTAAATATGTTAATCAATTAATGACTCTTAAGAAAGCTTATAGTACGGATACAAATTATTTCGTTGGCAATAAATTATCATGGGCTGATCTTTATGTTTATCTATCAATTGAAAGAGTTATCAAAGCAGCACCACAAATGAAAACTCAATTAGATAATCATTTCAAAGATACATTTGATGTTATCAATAACAATCAAAATATAAAGAAATACTTTAATGAACGACCTGATACACCATTTTAATATAAAGAACAAAAAATAACTAGATTATGATTTATAAAAAGAATTATTAATAAAAAATAAAAATAAAATCTAACAGCATCACTGAAATAATGAAGACAAACATTGATAGCAAAAAAAAAGTCTTGAACGTAGCTCGTGATCTAATCTTTCATAAACGACAAAAATTTTTGAAGATTTTCAGCATGTCCTATTCGAAAACTAACCTGTTTTCGGAAAAAAACCGAGAATCATTTTCGTTTTTTCTTCTCAGTTCATAATTTGTCGAATGCGCAACTCAAATTTCTCTATTCAGGTACATGCTATATATTTTAATTGTTTTTTTGTTATCATATATGAAAACATCTCTATGGAAACAGCGCCATTTTTTAGGAGTTTTTTAAGTCATTGAACTGGTGATTCCTTGTCTCTGCTTAAAAAGTCAGTATTTAGAAAAAAAGAACTTTGTGGTGTCCTGCATCCTGACATGCTCATTCAAACAAAAAAAAATTAAATGTATACAATGAACCTGGACAGAGAAATTTGATTTGCTAAATGTGCTATTTTTGATTCTTGTTTGGTGAAAATCTCGGTCAAACGTCATGATATAAGGCTGAAAATTTTACCATACCCTCTCTACACTAGTTCCAACATATTCTGGAAATTTCATGCCATTTGAACGTTCCCAGACTGAGATCAATTTTTGAGGAGGTAGGTCTTAATTCTAGTTTATGAAAGTTTGTTAAACAGCTATAGTACGGAAAGATTCACTAACTGTTCGAAAATTTTATCATAAGAGATAAATCAGAGAATATTTCTTTTAGACATTTACATATAGTCTCAAATAAACAAACAATATTACAATTGAAACTATTTTTCCTAACAGCAAAATTCATTAACGTAATTCAATTATGTAAGTCTAATCGAATTGGATAGTGCAGAATGGTCGTAATCTTTAGAGTTTAATAAATGCTGTAATCTCTCATTTTAAGATGAGAAACAGTAAATGAAATCAAATGCTTAATGTCCAATAGTTAACTCATTTCAACTTGACTGAACTGATTCTAATCCAATTGAGATCGTTCAGATTTTTATTTTGAGTAATATCGATATACTTCACTCTCTTTATAGTGATATGAGAATCGTTGCTTTCACTTTTGATCTATCAATGATAGATGCATCAACTTACGACAACCATTATTCGACAGAATACTTTTCATGAAAAGCTTACTTCTGTACTTCTCTCTACCTCTAAGCTCTTTTCAGTTTTTCCTATGACATTTACTTAATATAAATGCTATTCACATTACACTACTTTTTAATATTTATGTCTGAATAACACTTGAAACATATAAATCATATAGCTCAGAAAAGAAAATAAACATACAACGGCTAAAATAAATCATGAAGTGATAAGAATAAAAATGTACTATATTACTTAAAAAAACCTGTTTGACTGTTCTTCTGAAAATCATTTTATCTATATGAATCTCTAATTTATAAAATAACAAGTGGCAAAAAAAAAGAGGAGCAGCATATGTAAGACACCTCAAAAAGAGATAAGTCTACAGATATATAAAAGCCTTTTGCACAATAACTGAAAGAAACGGTCAATGAATAAACAAAGATAAATATAGTTGCCAAGGTCAAACAAACACGTTCGTATACGAACTCCGTATTGGTCGATCTCAATCTGAAAAAATACACATTTTAAATACATTTTCTTTTTGTTTGTTAAGCCTCTGATGATTGCGATCAACTTAGTTTTTGAGAAAATAGTGATATCGATTATAATGTAAGCAATGATGACTAAAGACGCACTGATTTTAATTCCACTCAATTCTAATCCATTGTGGAATTTTCTAGAATCTTTCAAATCTCAGATTTCTATTGTAGATTATAATTAATCTAAATATTGCAAGTTTTGGTATTTATATAGCGAACGAATGTTATTGTAGATGTCAATCAGAAAGGCGGTGAATTGAATAGTATATGTCAGAATTTGTCGAGAGAAAGGATGATATGTACTCGAGAGTCTACTGACCGATTAAATCAATATGTATACTAGGTTAATATAATAGTTGAAGTGACAAAACGAAAAATCAAATGATATTTGTCACTTCCTTTAGCATGTATCGAATATATTATAATTGGGAGAAAAGATTTTCAGTATAATGATGTTAAATAAATCAAATAAATTGATAGAATAGGAATTCGAAATACTAAATTTCAGAGCGCACATATTAACTTTAAATATTCTTATCATTTTGATTTATTTATTTATTTGACACATTTTAAAATAAATTCACTACAAACTTTTAACAGTTAGAATCTGTGAGTTCCACACTTGAGAGAGAGAGGAGCCTTGAGCTATAAAATAAAAAAAAAGAGAAAGAAACGATGGCATTACCGGCTGACGAGAACGACGTTTCACATCTGCCACCAAGGACATGTGAGTTGTGTCGTACATCAATAAGAGAAAAACATAATAGTTATACGTATTAGAAATTTTTTTATTAAAAATTTATTACTGATGATAATCAAGCCAGTAAAGTGTTAATATCTAGTTCCATTTTAATTAATATGACCGATAGACGAAACGAGTCTGTTCCACTAGGACATTATCAACAACTTTACTCCATCGAAAACTTTATTATCATTTGGTTGGATTCAAACATTGATGAAACGAATGATAATACTCGAAATTTTATCACACTCCTTCAAGGCATCGTTGATTCGGTCAAAATATTTAATGATATTGACCAATGTATTGATTTTATTAGTGACATTGTTGATGAAAAAATCTTCTTAATCATCTCTACTGAACTTAGTCAATGGCTTGTACCTCTTATCGAAATATTTATTCAATTGAATGCTATTTATATATATTCTAGTTCTAAACTGCCATATGAACAATGGATCATACATTACAAAAAAGTGAAAGGAATGTTCTATCAAATTGAGGATCTTTGTTATCGATTACAACAAGATGTTCGTCAATTCATTAGTAATCTAACACCAATTAGTATTATTAAACCATCTTCTACTACTAATCGTGATGAATTGGATCAATCATTTATGTATTCACAATTATTAAAAGAGATTATTTTAGATATGCCATACGATGATAAAGCAAAAAAAGAATATGCAGACTTTTGTCGTATTCAATATGCGGGCAATCATCAACGGATCGAAGTGATAGATGAGTTCGAAGAAACATATCAGCCTTCATTATCTATTTGGTGGTATACACGAGAAACTTTTATTTATTCGACATTGAATAAAGCCTTAAGAAATCAAGATACTGAAATCGTGATCAAGATGGGATTTTTTCTTCGTGATCTTCATTGTCAAATTGAACAATTATATTCGAAAATGAAGAATCATGATCGCCTGAATGTTTTTCGAGGACAAGGTGTATCGCTAATAGAATTTGACAAAATAAAGAACAGTAAAGGTGGTCTTTTATCATTTAATAATTTTTTGTCAACAAGTGCTGATAAAGACGTGGGATATACGTTTGCGGACAGTGCACGACAGAATCCTGATCTGGTCGGAATTAGATTTAAAATAGAAATTGATTCATCTGTTCCAACGGCACCATTCACTTCTTTAGCCGAATACAGTTACTATAGAGACAATGAGAATGAAATTCTCTTTTCGATGCATACGGTGTTTCGAATTGTTGATATGCAAGAAATTGAAGATCGATTATGGGAAATTAATTTAATAGTAACCAATGACGATGATCCACTTTTAACAAATCTTACTAAATACATACGAGATGAAATTAATGGATCAACAGCATTGCATCGAATGGGTCAATTGATGATTAAAATGGGTAAATTTGTCAAAGCTGAAGAATTCTACAATATATTACTCGATCAAACTTCTGAAGATGATCACGAAAATATCGCTCACCTTAATCATCAGTTAGGCATTATAAAACAACAGAATGGTGATCTATCAAATGCACTCGAATTCTTTTTAAAGGCATTTAAGATTATGAAGCAACATCTTTCACCAAATTACTCTGATCTAGCTATCGTCTATCATAACATCGGACTAGTATATAGAGGATTAGGAGAATATCCAAAGGCACTTTCATATTATGAAAAAGCACTCGAAATCGAACAAAAATCTCTTTCATCCGATGATCCAAAACTTGCTGCTACCTACTGCAATATCGGTTTATTGTATAATGATATGGGACAATACTCGATGGCACTTTCATACTATGATAAAGCGTGTGAAATCCAACAAAAATCTCTTCCACTCTATCATCCATTCTTATCTACTACATACAATAACATTGCTTTAGCTCATAAAGAAATGGGGAACTATGAAGAAGCACTATCTTACTATGAAAAAACACTTGAACTCCAACACAAATCTCTTCCAACTGACCATCCATTACTAGCTACTACATATTGTAATATTGGTTCGGTTCTTAATTTAATGGGAAAATATTCAGAAGCGCTCAATTACCATAATAAGACGCTTGAAATCGAACTGAAATCTCTTTCGTCTAATCATCCTAGTCTTGCTACTACCTATTGCAGCATCGGTCTTTTATATCATGAGATGGGACAGTACTCACTTGCACTCACAAACTATGAGAAGGCACTCGAAATACAAAGAAAATCTCTTCCATCCAATCATCAAGATCTCGCTAATACATACAATCACATTGGTCTTACTTATGATCAGAAAGATGAATATTCAAAAGCACTTTCATACTATGAAATGTCACTTGAAATTCAACAGCAATCTGTTTCATCAAATAATCCATTGCTAGCTACAACATTCAACAACATTGGTTCTGTGTATGCTTCAAGACAAAATTATTCAGATTCTCTCTCATATTACAAGAAGGCACTTAAAATACGACTTACATGCCTTCCATCTAATCATCCTGACCTAGCTAGTACGTACAATAACATCGCATTGGTATATACTGAAATTGGACAGTATAAAAATGCTCTCTCGAATCATGAAAAAGCATTTGAAATCCAACAAAGATCTCTTTCATCTGATCATCCATTGTTGGCTACTACATATAATAACATTGGTTTAGTTCATCAAAAAATGGAGGAATATTCGAAAGCATTAGCATACTATAATAAAGCACATGAAATCCAACAAAAATGTCTTTCACACAATCATCCATCGCTAGCTATTACCCTGGGCAATATTGCTTTAATTCACAAATCATTAGGAGATTATTCAAAAGCATTCGACACTTATCATAAAGTACTTGATATTATGGAGAAATCCTTATCAACCGATCATACATGGTTGGCTACTACATACAATAACATTGGATCATTGCATAACATAATGAAAAACTATTCAACTGCATTATCATACTACAAAAAAACACTTGACATCAAATTGAAATCTGTTTCATCCGATCATCCATCACTGGCTATTATCTACAACAAGATTGGTTCGGTACACCATTCAATGGGAAAATATTCGATTACACTCTCATACTATGAAAAGGCACTTACAATTCAGCAGAAATCTCATCCTTTGAATTATCCATTACTAAGTATCACCCACTATAATACAGCGATGGTGCTAGAAAATCTTCAACGGTATACAGAGGCTGTCGAACATGCCACACAAGCAGTGATGTATGCACGTCAAGCTTCCGATTATGAGCATCAGAAAGTTGAAGAAATTGAGAAATATCTCAACTTCCTTCAAGAAAAACTTGAATGAATATTTTATTGGTAAAATAAAACTGGATATCTTTATCTCTCACTACTGACTTCAACAGCATATTGACGCATTGTTTTATTTTTCATGTATATTACATTATTTTGACAAGCATTCTTGATTTTTTTGTTGTTGTCCATTTTAGTCTTTCTCATATTTACCTTAGTATGAATACTTAAAAAATGTCTTACATATTTACCAAAGGTAGATCAAATTACTCAGTAAATTAGTCATTTTGCTTTAAATCACTATCGTATAACTGACTCTTAACGCTCGTACTTTTGAATAATATCCTATCATCTATATAAAAAAAGATTGTTCATTATTATGCATTATTTTTAAAATTGTTACAGTAAGAGTATGATAGATATTAGCTATAATCAATGTATTCTGATAATATCATAATTACAGTTAATTTTGTTGAAATGACTGTGTTATAAATCTCTCTTTCATAATCATGTGCTAAACTCTATTCCATTGACAATGTCAATATAACGACTTTCTATTTATCTACGAGAATATTTTTAAAAAAAATTACAAATGATATAACAAGCATATCATAAAATCTGTAATAGATGCCGGTGTATAATTATTCCAACGTCTCATGAATTCTATTCCCATTGAGGTAATAGAACAAACATTATGAATAAGTATATGACTCGTTTCTTTCTATGATTCATTCATCTTTAGTCAGGTGCTGTCAACATGGGTAAGAACAGAAGAAAAAAAGTTGGAAGGATTTTTTTTTTTTTTTATATTACCGTTTCTTTTTCTTTTATCTCAAGTTATCCTGAAGATAAATAAAACCATTCGAAACATTAGTTTACGATCAAAAAGGTATAGAAAAAAAAAAACATGTCAAATAAGAACTAAAAATATCGACGATAATTGTGAATGAAAAAAAATTACTATCTGGTGACGCATCAATGCCTTTATCTAATCCTCAAACGATTAATCGTAAAAAGTATGACCTTTACAGTGTTTACATGATACATTTTGTTTATGAATGAAACATTTTATTGCTTGTTACAAAAAAAGATTTATTTTTTAGTCGAATGTCATTTGAATCTATTCGTTTATGGTTTCGTTTATTTATTGTAAATGATCTTGCTCCAGTTGTTTTCTTATTTCTATGGTTAGCAATAAATATTGCACTATTTATTGGAGAATTTTTAAATTATCATCATTCTCGTTCATATTTTTATTTACGTTCATTAATATTTGATGGTTTAAGTATTGCACGAGCAGCAGGATTATGTTTAAATTTTAATTGTCTTTTAATTCTTTTACCTGTTTGTCGAAATTTACTTTCATTAATACGATATATTTTACCACAATGTATAACACAATCACGTTTTCGTCGTTTTACAAAACGTCTTTTTGATCAACATATTGGTTTTCATCGTTGTATTGGTTATGCAATTTGTTTTTGGTCAATATTACATGTTGGAGCACATATTTATAATTATGAACGTTTAATTGATGTTCATAATGAATATCAATCACTTTCATCAGTACTTAATTTACTCTATCTTCAATCATCAGAATCACAAATAAATCCATTTGATAGAATTAATTCAAATTCATTACATATAGGAACAATGTTACGTACAACAGCAGGAATTACAGGTGTTATATTATGTATTTGTTTAATGATTATATTTAGTTCATCGACATCACTTATACGTCGATCATTTTATGAAATATTTTGGTTTGCTCATCATTTTTTTATTATATTTTTTATTTGTTTAATTATTCATGGTTTTCAAGGTATAGTTAAATCACAAATAAATCTCAATGAACATAATCCAGAAATATGTGCATCACTTTATCGTGAATGGGGTATTAATCAACAATGTCTTATTTATCCTCGTTTTAGTAGTTCAAAAGCAACAAGTTGGATATGGTTATGTGCTCCACTTTGTCTTTATATTCTTGAACGTTTTCTTCGTTTTATACGTAGTTTACAACATGTTGAAATAATTAATATTATTCGACATGAATCAAATGTTATTGAAATACGTTTTCGTAAAAAATTCATGAGTACACCACAACCTGGTCAATATATTTATTTAAAATGTTTTTCACTTTCGATATTTGAATGGCATCCATTTACAGTTACATCAGCTGCTGAAGAAACTTATATTAGTGTACATATAAGAACCATTGGAAATTGGACAAATGATTTAGCACAAAAATTTCAAATGTATCCACAAGATATACCAAGATTAGCAGTTGATGGACCATATGGAAGTGCAGCTGATGATGTTTTTAATTATGATGGTGTTATACTTATTGGTGCTGGAATTGGTGGTAAGAAAACAAAGTTATTTTTTTCAAGAGGAAAAGTACAGGTTTGGAACCTCCAGCACCGCAGCGTCATATTAACATTCGAGACAGCTGTGTCTTAGCTATTGTAAGAACAAAACATACCCGATGTTCGAATCAAATGAAAGACGGCTACGGATACCCTCAGGATTAGTTCTGACAATCCTACGTTTTGTCCTAGCAATAAAGGAAAAAACTCTGCTCAAATCTGATTGGTTGATCACTTTTTCCTATAGGCCAATCAGATTTGAGCACGATTTTATCCTTTCTTTTATGTTTTGTTCTTATAATAACTGAGAAACAGCTTCTCGCAATCTGATTGGTCGATACGAAAAAGTGATCAACCAATCAGATTTCTGCAGAATTTTTTTTTCTATAGTAAGGGCAAAACATAGACTTGTTTGGGATAGTTCTGAGATTATTCAGGACCCTCTTTCATTTAATCCGAACATCGGTATGTTTTGTCCTTATAATAGCTGAGAAACAGCTGTCCCAACTGTGAGCTGTACACCTCTACTACTACTAACTTTCAGTACCAAAAGATGCTGAAATGCTGGGATTCTACACCTACACTTTGTCCCTTGCTTTTTTTCGAGTTGATTTCAAAAAAACAAACAGTTTTATTTTTCACTAAATATTTAGTGACACCTTATGCTGCTATATTAAAACATATACGTTCATCTCAATCGAATCATGCCCGTCTTCGTCGTGTTTATTTTTATTGGATATGTAATACAACATCTTGTTATGAATGGTTTGCTGAAATGCTTCAAGAAATTGAACGTGATTTTCGAGATCGAATAAATTTTTTAACGTATAATATTTATTTAACAAAATGGTCAATTGGGCAAGCTCGAGCAGTTATACGAAATAATACCGACGAACGTGATATATGGACAGGTTTAGAAAGTAAAACACATTATGGACGACCTAATTTTAATATTGATTTTCAAGATATTATTAATGAAGATTGGCAAATGACACAAAAACGTCATATTGGTGTATTTGTTTGTGGTCAAAAACCACTTGTTAAAGAACTTCAATGTTTATGTATTAAAATAAATGATCATAATTCATCAAAAAATAGAGTTCGATTTTATTTAAATAAAGAGAATTTTTAAATTTGACATTTTTTTTTTGTAAAATGATGGAAATGTAAAATTAAAACAGAAGTTTGTTTTCTTTTTTTTTGTATATATGACGAGATAGAACGTGATGAGCTGATCAAAAATTGAAAATGCACACATTCTTGATCAGCTCGTCACACTCTATATAACCATCTATAAAGAAAAGAAAACAAATTTCTGCTTTAATTTTGCATTTCGAGCAACTTATTATATTGCTTTTTGTATTTTTAATAAAAATCAATATCATTATTATCTAAATGATTGGTTTTATTAAGACAATGCTTTCTTTTGTATTACCAGAATTATGGCGCAACGATCTGAAAAAAAGATCAACGCACTTTTTCAAAAATATATTTTCGAGAATACAAAGAATTTAACTTCTTAATAACACAACAATGTTCATATTTATTTGCAAGAGAGAATTAGCAACTTTTATCGGTGTAACTGAATATGCAATGATAGTAATAATTGAAGAGCAGAAAAAAAGCAATTCAGATTTTCAGACTTTTCTCTTTCAAACATAGTAAATTGAAGTTCTTATGACAAGAATATTCTGACAATATTTAATAGAACGCTTCATTGCTGAACGTCCGCTATCATAAAGAAAATAGTTGCATTTGATTTAATCGTTCCGTTTTCTTCAAAATTCCTGGTTTACAAATCTGAGCTAGAAAATGTGGAAACTGAGACTTTTTTGAAAAAAAAAGTAGATTGTATAGGATGTCAAAAATGCTACATCATTTCTAAAAAGCCGATTTTGGTCTAAAATGGGCCCGTATCTTAACGGAATTCAGGCGAACCCATACAAAAATACTTTTTTTCCAGAATGTAAGCATTCAATCAAGAACATATATACTTGATTTATCAATTTCTAAAATTGTACTTAGCAAAGTTTTATAGAGCAAAACAGAAACAAGCATAGTAAGATTTTAATCCAGAAATCCAATTAAGAAAAGCCTCAGTATAACACAATATTCCATATCCGAACAATTCCATACAAAAAAAAATGCTAACCTTTGAGTTTCGTTTCCAAAACATGACCTAAATTCAATTTAAACTACTGGAGAAGTGGACGGATTTTTGGGTCACAAGTCCACTCAAAACGTTATCGTTCCGTACAGTGTAAATTCTACTTAGAGATAACATTTGGTCAGGCTCAATTTTTTTTTCAATATTATCATATCTTAACCGTAATCCTGGCCGTAGCACCAAATCACAAAACTTATACTTGATTATTATAGAAGCTTCTCGCAAAACAGCTGTGGGTGTGGGTGTGGGTGTGAGTGTGAACGTGGGGTGTGGGTGGATGTGGGTGTGAGTCATGTTTTTAATTCATTCAACACCCACACCCCACACCCACCCACATCCACGGTAGTCGCACTGCTTTTCGAAATAGAACACAGAATGCATCATACAGAAAATAATAGACTGTAAATAACAGCTAACTAGAGACCTGCATCGGAGTTAATTTCGAAGTCGCTTCGGAGTCAAACAAATTTCTTGCCAATAATTCATTTGAACATTAGAATCTTTACGCGTTGTAGGCTTTGTTCTTTGGCCGATTTCTTACAATCGGATGTATCTTGGAGGTTCAATCAACGTCACATTGAAGACGATCGACCCAAAGAGGAAATCGGAGTCGAAAAACTCGGAATCAAAGTTTATTTCGACTTTCTCTTTGTGTCCGTAGGCTTCAATGTGATGTTGATTGAACCTTCAAGATACATCAGCCTGTAGAAAATCAATCAAAGAGCAAAGTCTACAAAAGCACAAAGATTCTGATATTCAAAATGAATTATTGGCAAGATACTTAATTGACTTCGAAACAACTTCGAAATTGATTTCGATGCAGATCACTACAGTTAATATAGTGAACAGAATCGTAATGAATTTTATTACCACAAATTTTTAAATAAAGGACAAATTTTAAGTTTTCCATACAAAAAAGCGGAAGAGGTGGCAACCCTGGTGTGTATCAGAATCTTCGTTTGACACCGACACTCACGTCACATACCAATATCACATCCGTACTAACATCCTTTTCGACGAAATGCTTTTTTGCAGAAAAATTTCGACGAAAAGCCTGCCGACTAAAGTGGTGTTTGATAAATGATATACCACTCTTAAAAAGGTCTGTTCTCTCTTCTTCGTCATTGATAAGAATTGAAGTTGAAAGCAGAAACAACAATATTGATAGTGAAAGACTGATGTTGTGATGTTATTTTTACGAATATTGTTATCAGTGAGAAAAAGAATCAGGTGCATTAGCAATAATAAAGGCGTCAAGCTTGCCGTACGACAAACATTTTCGAAGATAAACCTGTAAAGGATGTCCATCGTAGCCGAACGTTCTCATGATACCAAAGAAATTTACGATTCAATCGCCGAACAATATGTAGAATTCAAAAAAGCTCCATATCGTACAGCTGTCGAACAATATACGTTCTTCGATTTGATGTTGTTGAAGAACGAACGTGAACGTGGCAAAAACGCACGTATTCTAGATTTAGCTTGTGGTGATGGACATTACACGCGCAAATTACGAGATTTGTTTCCGGATGCATCGTATCTATGCGGATTAGATATCAGTTCATCCATGATCGATATTGCTAAACAACGTGAAATTGAGCATCCAAAAAATATCGATTATATTTGTGCCGATGGTAAAGATTTGCCTCCTAGCGAAACACCCTATGATATAATCACTGCTATCTATTATTTGAATTACGCTCAAACACATGAAGATCTTCGTGCGATGATCAAAGGTGTTTATGATCAACTTAAGCCAGGTGGATCATTTTATTCAATGAATGAAAATGTTCGTAGTCCCATGGATGGATTTAATAATCCAATGCACAAGAAGTACACGTTCTATCGAGAATATTCAGGTGATAGTTTGCGTGCAGGTCAACCTATCAAATATACATATTATTGGGATGTTAACACGCCTTCGAAATGTGTTTTTTTCAATTATTATATGCCTCCTTCGACTTATGAAGATTTATTTAAAGAATGTGGCTTTTCATCGTTCGAATGGGTTCCAGTCCAATGCAATCCAAAAATCGATAATGTCTCGTTCTTCGACGATCTTGTTCGTTTACCTCATGTCATCGGAATTATTGCCAAGAAATGATTTTATTTTATGATTCGAACATTGATTCTTCTTTTTCTATTTTAAAATCCTTGTTTTTTGCTTCTATGCTAATTTAATGTCTTTTGTCATCAATAAATCATTAGGTGTCTTTTCATTTGTTCGATCATAGTGAGACAACTTCCGGTAAAGCAACATTTTCATTACAGGTCTCTTTGATTGATCAATGATAATTACATAGGTCAAGGATTTTGACAGAAGAGTCGATCGGATATTTGTCGAACTTACTGAGGAATTGACATATCAAAGAAACAAACATCATTCTAAATAAATCAGTCGATTCATTGAATGCAATAAATCGACGAATATCATTATGAGTGTTTGTCTTACGAGGGAAGTATCCCAACTGATTAAACGCTTTTGAGCCTATACTTTAGGCATACAGAGTGAATCTCTAGACTAAAATATACCTAAAAGGATTCGGGCTCATGGCCCTTATGAGCTGAGATATTGAATTTTCAAATTCCAGCAGATAAGAAGAATTTTGATCTTCTTTGGAGATTATCTTGAAAATAAAAATATACTGTTAACTAGATATTCCATCATAAACTGGTCACATGATCAGCAAATTACTGTGAAATTTCTAGATTTTATCTCATTTCTATAAGCCACAGCTATTTTCTTGGCAATTCTAGATCGCACAAAATAAAGTTTTATAGATATCACCTTCTAAGAAATTATACAGTCACAGTGAAAGACAGCAAACATCTGATTATGACAATGATAAGCTTCAAAAAAATGTTCAAAGCAAAGTAACTTGCGGCAATGAGTGCATTGAATAAAGCATAATAAGCGACACTTCGACTGTTAGCAGATATCAACATCAATGTTGAAGTAAACTTATTTGACAGACTCAAAATCTCCTGAATGCTGATCGATGATCTTGACGCGAACTATACATATTTGATCATAGGTACGAATTGAAGCGAGGACAACTAGTTGTGAATAAGAGAATTCAGCTGTATTATATTGTTTCGTTCACATACGTTAATGAAGATATCGTCAAGTTGAATGTTATCGAATGTACACTGAGCGAACAACTTCCATCGTCTGTTGAAATAGACAGCAAATGGCTGAATACGCGACGTAGTGTGAGCTGGTATTTCTAGTCTCTTACAACCTTAAATAGCAGAGCATATCTTTGAATCTTGTTGGCTAGACCAATAGTCCGAGATCAGAAGAGATTTCGATGGAGCAAATGGACGAAAAATGCGATCTTACCTCATTCGTTGACCACTACCTCTGTAATGATGATTGATATAATAGGAAAAAATACTGTGGCTTATAGAAATGAGATAAAATCTAGAAATTTCACAGTAATTTGCTGATCATGTGACCAGTTTATGATGGAATTTCTAGTTAACAGCATATTTTTATTTTCAAGATAATCTCCAAAGAGGATCAAAATTCTTCTTATCTGCTGGAACTTGAAAATTCAACATCTCAGCTCATAAGGGTCATGAGCCCGAATTATTTTAAGTATATTCTAGTCTAGAGATCCCCTCTATGTGTCCAAAGTATAGGCTCAAAAGTGGTTAATCACTTTGGGTACTGTCAAAACTTTAGAAACTTTTAGAGTACTCTGAAAAATTCATAGTTATACAATCATTCATTGAATGCTAGTAAGTCTTTATAGTCAAAGAAAATGAATAAGAAATGGTTTTGGCACATTTTTATTCTGACATTTATGGTAATCTTTAAACATAGTGAATGAAATGTAAGTTTTTAGAAATTCATATTTTCTGGATAGAGATTTACTTTTGACGACTGATAATGACTGTGTCTGCGAACTTGGACGGTATCAATATATTAAGCAAAGAGTAAGGAAAACGATAACGATCAGAAGAATACAAAATGTAATAGTAAGTATAATATTCATACACCTTTTTGCACACATATTCCTTTATTTAGATAGCCTGTAACGGTTTTTTTCTGTTTCTTTCATGTTTCTCTCCTGAATTTTAAATGATTCCTCTAAAATAAGTATTAAATTTCTATCAGATACAAATGGAAATATTTTTGGAAGGCATTTATATCGGTTATATCCAATGAAATTAATGTTACTTTTACAATAAAAACTATAATTACAATTTAAATATATTATAGTCACATTTGTAAAGATATGAAATCTTTCGACCATGGAATAGTTTATAGGTCTTCTTATTAATAATGTCATTAAATCAAGATCTACTTTCTCAAAACGGAGAAAGTTGTAAAGGGATGTTTCCACATGACAACGGAATGAACGATCAGTCGAAATTACTTGTTCAAGACACACTATTTATAGATATCTCTAAACAATGGATGGACCTCGACAAACCGTATAATGTCCAAAATCATATCCTAACATCTTTGGCCATGCGACAATTTCTTCTTCTACTCCTTGCTCGATGGTAAAAAAAGGCAAAATAGTTAGTTTATAAACGTACATCTTATCATATATATCCGTTTGAAGGACTGAAAAATAAGATTTAAATGCAATATTACCTAAATGCTCATGATAATAACCGATATTATCGATAGTATGCGAAACGTTTTGTGAAGGAAAAAACAGAAGGGTCTGCGCAAAAATGCATGCACGATATAAATGCAGATTTTGGTTTAAAGGTATCACTGTAGATACTGATTCCCTAAGTCATTCATACGCAAACTCAAAAAGGTCATTTTGTTCTACCATCCGAAAAAAACAATCTTGGTTAAGATCATTGTTCTCAATACGATGCATTCAATTCTTCACACGATCATAACATGCTCCGCGCATCTGCATCTTAGGAAAGAAATCTCGCCAGAAAACATAATTTGGTCTAAGGAAAATCTAATTATATCATTTGATAGAACTCCTCGATTTGTATCTGGAACATGGAAAAAGATCTCTGAAACAGATTCGTAGACGAATCACCGCTGCTATTATTGGAATCCATACTAACTTCATCTACATCAAGAAATGCGTATCCTAAGTAATTAAACACCAATCTCATTTAACTAATACCAATGATTGATCTGTTCCTGAAAATAACAATTTGCAATTGAATAATTATAGCTGTGGATATGGATTTTCTCTTCATCGACACTGACATTCACCTCACTGCCTCATTCTTCATTTCTGTCACCAATTCCGCATCTGTTGAAGTCAACAGTATCAAAACGACTGCCGGTTACGCATTTCTATAATCTACTTTCATAATCTTATTTCAACAAGAAACCAAACTAAAAATGGATCAAAATATGCACAAAACAGTTGTTGAGAATATAATCAAAGTTACAATTGGGCGACATCAATATCGAGAGTAAAGTTGACAAAAAAGCTAGTTGTAAAACACTCATTCTACTGGTGCGGACGTTTCTAGGACTCGAAAATTTGAGAAATAGACAGATACATGGACAAACCTTTTCTAGTATTGTAGATGAGATTGCTGTTGCTTTCTTCATCAACAAGCATGGCTTTCTTTTTGATGTTTATGTAATGAGAAAGTATAACTTTGCTGCGAGCTCATTTGAATATCGTCTACAAATAACAACGAGAACAATTTCTTGTAGTTGATGTCAGGTTATTTGGAACTTTCGTACAACATAATCTGTGCTCCGTATGCAAAATATTTACTCAGCACCATCGTGCAGAGTATGCACCTTTACCATGAGTCACTTTTTTTTGTTTTTTTGCATCGATCTTTTGGCACGAAAAAATTATTTTTTACAGCCATGTCTGCGTAGAATACATTCGTCAATGGGATATTTATTTTACATGTCGTACACTTATTTATGTGAAACTTATCGAGGATACCATGTCATAATTGAGATTAAATTCGCAATAAGTTATGATGTGAAAAGTCGTATGTATCAAACTTGAAAGTTGAATTCGATTATTGAATACTTGTAGCTTGAAAATTTGAATTTTAAGTGTTTAACTATATATATATTATTATATATAATTATATGGCAGAAGTTATTTTTATTTATTTTTCGAATTGCTGAACGCCTATTATTCGTCACTCAAAAAGGAAGAAACGCAAAAACAAAATTAGTCTAGACTGGAATTCCAACCCAGGTAGTATCACGACTGGTAACAAGCAAGATGCTTTTATCAACTAAGCTATCGAGACACAGTCTTAACTCAAATTCATATTCAATATGAGCACTTACTTTAACATTTTCGATTGATGAATAATACCTGTTCTGTCACTCAAAAAATGAATAAGAAAAACGTCATGTCATATAATTATATATAATTATATACGATTAGAGTTAGTCTTCATACAATGAAGTCTCAGTTCGTAATATCACTTGAAAAAATAAAAATAAATATTTCCATTGAATTCGAATTTGAGTTAAGACTATGTCTCGATAGCTTAGTTGGTGAAAGCGTCTTGCTAGTTACCAGTTGTGATACTATCGGGGTTCGAATCTCAGTCTAGACTCATTTTCTTTTCTTTGTATTTCATTCTTTTCGTGCGATGAATAATAACCGTCCTACCATCCGGAAAATGAATAAATATTCAAATATAAATTCAAGTATTCAAGTATTAAACTATTCAAATATTCAAATATTCAACTACGCAACTATTAAATTTGTTAGTTTAAGTATTGAAGTATGAAACCATTCAAGTATTCAACTATTCAACTTAATGGATCAAGTGAAAACACTCGTGCACACATCTCTCTCAATGTGCATGTGTTTGCACAGCACCCATATCGAGAGAATCGTGTGTGTATTTTTGTAGCACCCCGCCGAGAAAGGTGTGAGTATGTTTGCGCAGTATCCATATCGACAGAGTTGTAAATGTATGTTTACGCGACACCCAAATCAAAAGAGTCGTGAGGGTTTGTGTTCGCACGCCACAACTATCAAGAAACATGTGAGCGTACTTTCGTGGCATTCAATTATTGGATAGTTGAATCCAACTTTCAGGTTTGACATATATGCACTTGTGGAGGCACGATCGATTATGAAAACTTATTATAATGACCACGAATATAGCCCATTT